TTAATGTCAAGAGGAGTTACTATGCCAAAATTATCCTAATAATTATCAAATATCAATATAAAACTGTTTCAGTTTTTCCGTTTCATCAGATAATTAACACATAGGAGACTTGGAGAACTTGATAGCAGCTTGTTATTTAGCTTTACCGTTCATCAGGCTAATTGTCCCCTAATTACTCCTATATTAACAAAATAATGAAATTAAACTTTTTTTCCTGTTCATCTCGTAACACGTAGTCCGCATTGGAGATTTTTATTAACGTAAAGAAGTGTTATTTATCATTACTGTCAATTAGGCTAACTACCCCAAAAATTACAAAATATTAAAATGAAACTTTTTGATTTTTCCAATTTGTTTCCTAAGGAACTGTCACCGATGATCCAATTTTCTGAATATAATAAGTTCTTTAAGTGTTGTGTTTTTTGCATTGAATAACCAATTGCTTTTCAAACTTGCCTAACTTTTCACAGGTGACCAAACAGGTTTTGATCTCCGTTATTTCGTTAATAATTCGCCAGATTTTAATAATGTTTTTCCTTTTTCTTCTCTTAAATAATATACAGTTGTATGTTTTCATTTCGCTTTTGTCACGGATTCTAAATAGTATATACATGTAACATAAAAAGTTTCAAGTAATCTTATGCATTTCTTTATCTAAATTTTCTTCATTATTTAATATTCAAAACTTAACGCGTTGTCGTAATTAATTATTCACTTCCTCTTTTCGTATTCTAAATTAAGATCTTAAGTATGTAGAAATTAATATTTCATCAATTTCCCTGTAATCAACCGTGAAAAACAATATTTTCCCTCGACCTATTTAATAGACCAATTGTTATTACTCAGATTTCTCTTATTCCCTACAACGAAACATTTAACTGATACAGATTTCCCCTATTTTTTTTTAATATCGGAGCACTTCGATTTGTGTGTCACTTGGATGATTGTTCTCTTTCTAATAATAATTAAATAAATATTGTGCCTTCTTCCCCTGCCAAAGACCTGTTTTTATTCTTTATCTCGGCAACGTCATTAGGAGTCGTCAGGATATAACGGTATACATCGGAGGCGAAGACCTGCTTTAAGTGGACAATTGAATAATGTTTATTTTCATCAATGATCGCCTAACTTCATCATTAAAATTTTTTAAGCACTATTTCACTGAAACAACCAATTCTTCTTTAACAAATTGCAACTTCTTTAAACAACAAAATTTCATGATGAATGGGTTCTCACGTTTTATTTACGTATGCAACATAATATGAACTTAAGTTCTAAAAACTATGAATACCACTGAAGAGCCTCAATATTTTCACCCCCCTCCTTGGACTGGAAAGATAAATTGCCGATAGCTATGGAAGAATTTTGGATTTACAAGTGACCAATTCTTATTCAACAAATTGCAACTTCTTTAATAAACAAAATTTCATGATGAATGGGTTCTTACGTTTTATTTGCGTATGCAACATATTATGACCATAAGTTCTAATGATCGTTTTCCTTTTTGACAAAGGCTGCATAGTGATGGTTCTTTTAATAGTAAATAAATTTAATTATAATCTAGCCTATCCATTTTCACCAGAACGGAAATTGGCTTCATAAATTTTTTTCTTTCTTACTAGAAATATTACCGGGAACTTTCAATGGTTTCAGTTCACATCCTTGACATAAAGCATTAAAAATATTTTGAAATTTAATCTTTGTGAATTAAGCAGTTATTCACCATTGAGAATTCTTTTATTTGCAAAATCATTTATTAACATATTTGAATATGAATGAAAAGAAAAACTTTAAAACTACTTTTTTGGGATTGTATGTTTTAGTATAAATATAATACCGGTAGTAGTTTTTTTTAATCAGCAACAATAAGATTGTTTTTTATAAATAAAGAGCAAAATATATTTTTACTTATAATTAGTGTTTGGATAAAAATAATTATAAACGGAACATCGGTGTCACATCTGCGACAAAGAGTTCATTGTTTTCCGCAACTTGTCTAATTTGTCGTGACATAACATGTCGTGACATAAAAATAACATGTATCTTATACATGGAAGTTAGACTCACGCAATTTTTTGAGTATATGGGTGCACAAATAATTTAAATTATATGTTATTGTAAACTATCTATTCGCGATCGCAGCGCTCAAATACGACATCTGGGAAGAAGACCAATTCCATTGCTTCACCCATCCCTCTCATACTCTTCTCAGTTATTTAGAAATGTACTTCAATATTTTTCATATTCAATTGCTTCAAAGATTTTTTAAGACTTCCACGACGATTTCTTTTGGAACTATTATAGGGAACTGAAAATTGCATTGAATGTAATTCTAAAAAACGAGAAAATTTAAAAATATATTTTTAACGAATACGAAAAATATTAAGAAAGGAGAAAATATCGTAGTACATTCCTATAAAACTGAGAAGAGAAGGAGAGGAGTCAAGACATGGAACCGGTCTTCTCCCCAGATGGCGTATTAGAGCGTTGAGGTCGCGATTCCGTGTACCTGGAGCAGAAATTTAAGATGTGTAAATTCAAAATTCTTTTCTGGTGATTGAATTTTATGTTTTAGATAGTTTTGTATCATAAAAATGATCAATAGTTTGAGGTAAAATGTACAAAATGGGTTAAATATATATTCCACATATATTTTTAAGCAGATTCCAGTCATTTTCAATTAAGAGAAATGACAGAGAAAATTTCTCGATATATAACAAACCACAGGAAGAAAAAATATTAAATAAATTAACTTTTTTTCCTTAGTTGTTGTTGTTAATTTATGTCGCACTAGAGCTGCACAATGGGCTATTGGCGACGGTCTGGGAAACATATCGGAGGATGATCCGAAGACATGCCATCACAATTTTGATCCTCTGCGGAAGGGATGACACCCACGATTCGGTAGCCCGAAGTCGAGCACTTTACGGTAGCACAGTTTAACGAGGACCAATACCGCACACCTTCGGTCCCTACGCAGACTGATCCAAGTGGTCACCCACCCGCACACTGACCGCAGCCAGTGATGCTTGACTTCGGTGATCTGCTGGGAACCGTGTCTTAACGATCTGTCCACTGCGGGACTTTTTTCCTTAGTAAAGGAACGATTGCGTATGAGGAAAATTTTATAATTCTCTCTATATTAATACATATAAAAATTAATACCGAATTGCTTGTTTAAAATAATCCAGTTCTTTGATATAAGTAATTTAAATTCTTACGTTCACAGGAGTGTTATTAATATCATATTACGTTTTCTACAGCCATCTGTAATTAAAAATATAAAAAATTATTTTGTGTTTAGAAATTATGTTCTTAAGAGACCCCTTTTCTCACGACTAAATTCAACAGCTAAAGGAAAACAGATGAAGGGTAGAATTCTAAATCTGCACAGGATCAAGATTGTGATGGCACGTCTTCGGATCTTTCTTAAGGATGTTTCCCAGACCCACACAATAGTCCACTGTGCAGCTCTAGTCCGATGTAAATAAAGTATCTACCTATCTTTATTTAATTTTCACAAATAAACTGATGTTGGATATTTACTCCATTTTGCAGCATTCTTTGATAGATGCAAAATACTAAATCGTCTTCCAATCAAAATGGGAGACAAATAGCTGGCATTATTTTAGAACTTAATTTTTTTTCGTCAGAATTATACCAATACAATTTTAAAAGAGAATTGAACTTTACTTTAAAGGTAGTTTAGTTATATATATTTGCCGTCTTTTAAGATTTTTTAAACAAATGTCTTTGTTTTTATATTAAGAGAATTTTACAGCATCATCCAAATTAAACAATAATTTAAAAAAATATTTAACAAAAAACATTTATGCATGTAAATGTACAGTATTAAATTAAATTACCGAATCAATATTAATAGTAGCATAATTTTATTGCTTTACATTTTTTTAAGTAAAATCCAAAGAAATTCTAGCAATTATCAAGCGCTATTACTCTTAATTTAATAAAGCGACGACTTAATTTCCCCTTTTTATAAAAGCACATGGTTGTTGAATGCTCGACCATAAGTTGGCTAAGAATGAGAAGAAAGAAAACGAACATTAAAAATTTAACCCAAAATCCAAGATGGCGAAATCTTTTAAAAACTAATTTTTGCTATGGATGTTGACCTCCTTAGTAACTTAATCCTTAATGATATTTTTACTTCATATTTATATAATTACAATAAATTTAGTAATAGAAAAATAATTTATTCGAAAGAAGTTTTATGCACTAAGTAACTTCATTGGCAACTTTTTTTAATTCTGGACCAAGTTCTTATTACAGATTAGAAATGAAACAGGTTCAGCCCCGAGCGCGACGTGGACTTGTTTATTGAAGAAAGGTTTCGGGTGCAGACTCATCACAAAATTTTCCTAAACTTTTTTGTTACTACTAAACAAACGTTTGGTTCAGTTATTAAGTATAAAAAATGTAAAATTTCTAAGGGATAAAAAGTTACAGAGGTCTGCTACTACTAACTATTCCAAGCTTTTGCTTTGCAAGGTTAATACTAATTGTCAAATTTCTCTTATTTAGCTTAAAATTTTGTTTTAGTAATCTTGGAGTTTCAGTCCGTTCAATATTTCTCTTCGTTTTTTCTTTTATATGATAAAAAGGTATCCATGCCTAGTTAAATTCTTAAATAGATTGCTACAGTAAAAGATAAAGCAAAGAACACGAGTTTGCGAAAGAACATAGTCACAGAAGAGTGTGTGTATTTGCCTATTTTCCCCCCCGAGACAAAATTATCAAAAATATGCCCGGCATCGTAAACCGAATTACGGCAGCATTTTAGTGAAATTGAGAAAAACCAAGAAATCACCTGGAAAAAAAAAGAACCCCTTAGGAATTCGACTTAGACCAACAAAGGTATTTGGATGAAAGTGTTTCGGATGTTTGAGGTTCTAACTGAACTTAAATAAGAATAACATTAGTTTCGCTTTTCGTTTTAACACTTTTCATGCATATTAACACAGAAAAAATGCACACAAAAATCTACAAACAAAACATTTATTAGATTTTAAGACTTCACAGAATCAAATTGCGTTAAACTCATTCTAAAATGGGTGATCATTAAATAAGGGAAACAGATGAAATCACAGCATAATCATTTTAGGAAGCTTTTACAATCTTCATGCAACATTTTATTTTCAGTAAAAAAAAAACATAACATGCACATAATCTTATGTTAAAATTTGCAGATATCAACAATTTCAAGACAAAAATAGGCAAAAAAAGCATTCTTTTCAGCATTTCTTTAAAATTAATACATTTTGTAAAATGTTATATTTTCTATTATTAATACAACAAATTTTTATTTACACGTAATATTTACAAATTCTACACATTTTAGAGCTATCATCTCTTAAAGTTAAATATAGATGCAATGAGAATGTTTAAATTCATATTTTACAACTTAGTGGATAAAAAACTTAATGGACAATAAAGTAAATGTAGCAATCGAAATTTTAATTATAATTTAAACTTTGCAGTTAAACTACAAATTCAACAATATTAGATTGAACCACATCTGAATTGATTTCCTCGCATATATACACAGTTATAAAAATCAATACTTCCATACAAAGAACTTTAAGTAAGAACAATAGAGTTCAGCACTCAATTCAAAATTTTGCACTTACAACTCTTGCAGAATCATTTATTATGTTTTTAAAATTCTAATCAAAAATAACATAAAAATACACATATTTTAGGTCATACAAGTTAGTATTTATGTGAGAAAAAAAGAATAGAGTGCCCTTTTATTGTATATGAAATCTCACCAATTTCCTATTATTTTTATAGCTACTTCTTATTTCATATCTCATTTTAATGTATCTCATATTAATATATCTCATATTCATTTTAATATCTCATTTTAAATCATTTTTCCAATTTTTGGAAATAAATTAAAATGGCCAAAATAACAGCAGCATCCTATTGTAAACTTTTGTCAAACAAAACTAAAGTCAGAAAAAGTTGATAATCAATATCACCTTTCAGCTTCCTCAGACAATCAAACTGGTTTTGATACTTTTAATACTTTCATAGTCATTAACATTAAAAAATTTGTCAGATTTCGATAACTTTATTTTCCGTTACTAAAATATTAATTTGCAACATATAAGACGCACATTTTCTAGACATTATTTTGGGCAAGAGTTTTTGAAATACATAGAGGTGAGTCTAGGAATTCTTGTATTTCTGATGGAAAATATGAATAAAAATTTATCTATTCTTTAAAATTAAGGGATGATAGCTTAAAAGTTAACTTTCTTAGAATATATTTTAATTTCAAATCCAAATTTAGAATCCTATAATAACAATAAAGCCTAAAGATTAGATTAAGTCTTTAAATTGGATCTAACGTATCGCAGATTTTCATGGCCTGTCGCAACACTTCTTTTGGACTTTGTAAGTCATCCATGATTGAGATTTTATGAAGCTTATCACGATGAGCTATTCGCTCGAGTTCAATATTATCTATCACAGAAATGCGTTTCCCAATGATTTTCTTCTGATCAACAGAATTTTCATTGAAGGTGGGATCTGAGCAATAACTTTGAGTCGAATGGGATGAGCTTAAAACACACTTTGAAGAGCTGAAGCTTTCAAGGCCATCGTCAGACAAGAGATTTTTTAGCAAATCGAATGTTTGGTTGGTATTCTTTTGATTCCATATACTTCCGATTTCTGAAGTGGTTTTCTCCAGACATTTTTGCTGTAAATCACATTTTTCAGACTCATCTGAGAGTCTACTAAGAGGGGGGCTTGGAATGTGAGCAAAATTGGAACACTTACCATTTTCCATCTTAGAATTAATTTGGGGAGTTCCAGTATTCCAAAGAATACCCAAGGGTTTAACCTCTACATGAAAATCCGTTTTTTCTTTGATGGGTGATTCACAATAGTTAGGACTGATTGCATCCTTAGCACCACATGAATTATCAGGTGGAATCTGCTGATCCATAGTGAGATCCTCAAGACTATCTGGGGTATTTGCACCATTTGAAATAGATGATTGAGATTTTGAGTTTATCCCATCATCCCTGTCATATCCCATTTTAAGCAAGAGCAATTTTTTTGGACGGTTATTCAAATCATTAGATGCAAATAAATTTTCGGATGGTGTTAATTTGGGAACACTCTGATTAATGTTAGTAAGCTCAGAATCCATGCAAGTTGGAGGACATGCCATATCCCAAATGCTGTTTTCAGATGGCAAATGAGGTTTATAGGGACTGTTCTTACCTGATTGAGCATTTCTAGGCGATTGTTTTCCGCTATTCCCAACATCACATTGGACCGACATTTGAGGAGAACTTTCAGATCCTCCGATACAATGCTGAACCTCAGTTGAAAACTGTCGTATGCCAGGTACAGGGGATGGTACCCTTGTAGTAGAATCTGTTTTACTGGGAGCCAATGTTTCTTGCTGTTCCCATAAGCCCTTAGGTTGGGAAGATGCTTGAACCATTTGATTGTCCCGATTCCTATTAATAGAAACTCTCATTTGAACTACAGGTTGTGAGTGCACTCTGGGCGAAACCTGCTCTACCCGGAAACTAGCAGGTCCAGAAGATTCGACAATACTCCCATCATTGGAGCTACTATAATGTCTGACAATTCTGGTAGCAGTTGAGGGATTTGCATGACTAGATGCAGCTCTACCATCTGAAAATGTGAAATTGATTTGATGAACAGAAGAGCCAGAATGAGAGCCATCACTGCGGTTAGTTTCTCTAATGCTTTCTTCCGAAACTGGACTATATGTGGAAGACCTAAAGCGCATTTTACTTGCTTCAGCTTCTTTGTTCAAGCTCTGACTTCTTCTACGCTGAGTCTCATCAAATGAGGGGAAAAAGTCAGCACAGCCTGCTAGTTTATCACTAGATGAGCGATTGTATTGAAAATATTCACGAGGGCGCATGGTGGCATAACCAGAAGTATTGCTATGAGTGCTAGATTTTCTTGAACTAAGGCTTGGATAAGGGTCATTATAAACTTCAAATGGATCATCTGAATTCATATGCAACCACTGTTCTACTCTATGTTTTCTACTTTCTGGGAAATTTTCAGTTGGCTCTTTACTACTACCTAGCGACGTTGGTGAGATCGGTGGTGACATAAAATCTTTTGACCAGGATTTCATAAAGTTTTTAATCATTTCCTGCTTTCCACCACCCTGAATGGATGACATAGACGATACTCTACCAGTTCTAGAAAATTCATCTGAAGGACTTTGTCTAATAGAATATTCAGATTCATATCCGTCACTACCAACTCCACTGTCTCGACGTGGGTTATGTCTTGATATATTTCTTTTAAGAGACCACTTTTCATGTCGACTAGGAGAATCTCGAACACTTGACTCCTTACAAAAACCTTCATTTGGAGATTCAAAAACAAATCTTAATACCTTTTCTCTTGGACTCTCTGTTCTATCTCTGCTCTGAGAACGAGTTCCTGTATTGTAACCACTGCTGGCTCTGGACCCACATCTTCGCCACTGAGGTTCAAATTTAGACTCGGAACGATCTTGACTAACAGATCTTCCATATGTTATTGGCTCATGTTGGATGGTGACTCGACTAGGAAAGCCTCTATTAGCTGATCTTAAGAACTGCCAAAGACCCTGTGATCCATATACAACTGCACTGGAATCATCAAAATGTAAATCACAATCTTCTTCGTTTTCAGAGGATTCTCTATCTGCGGATCGCCCACTGCGGATTTCAAATTTCTTTTTATCACGTTCATTTCGTTCACTTTCAGTTCTTCGAAATAATCTGAAGGGATTTCGTCTTCTTTCTTTACGAAGAAATGGATCTTTTGAAAACTTCTGAAACATATTATTCATTTTTCTCATATTACACATCATAGTATCGCCTGTCCAACTGTCGAATATGTCATCATACACCTCATTTGAACCAGATGAACTTTGGCTGTCTGATCTTGCAAGACATGGCGAATCATTTCTGAGATGAAGATCTCGAAATTTTTCGAATTCTTCAACATTTCCAGGGCGGGTAGTGATTTTTGTTTTCTTTTCCACTTTTGTCCAGGAGCCATCTGCTCCAGGTGTGGTATAAATTTTCTTAGTCTCTGTAATACAAGCTCCATCTTTGGTAAAAGTGAATTTTTTGTAACTACGAGCTATTGGGACTAGTGGCTTGTCATCTTCAAATTTGGCCAAATTATATGATTTATTTGATGATCTCTCATCATCAGGAGATAGCCTTCTCAAACTTTCCTCCATCTGTTCTCGCCAGCCACTTAATTCTGAATCAATTGTAGATGATATTGTACTCCAATTCTGAGATCTTTCTTGCAATTTTCTTTCATTTGAATATGACGAATTGTCCCATAATGGTGCATTCTTGGAACTAATTATTTCACTTTTTAATGTACTATTATTTGAACTTTGAGTCGAACTCAATTTTATCTCTGCTTTGCTAGTAACATTTGCCTCCTCATCTTTAGTATAAGGTTTGGGTGCTTTATAAAAAGATGGCATCGGTTCAGCAGCACTATTAGCTGATGCAGGAGTTGAGCACACTGAAGATGTTTCAGAATCCACGGAGCTTTGCTTTGACATTCTTCGTTCAGCGAGCTTAGCTTTTGCAATACCCTTTTTAAGAATACCTTTTGCAATGGTTTTCTTCTCTTCTGTAATAGCCTTTTCTCTGCATTCCTCTTGCGAATCATTTTTAATTACATTTTTATTAATATCCTCTACAGGAGTTCCAACAGAATCCCTCCGTTTTTCATCTTTCTGAGATACTTCAGGGCTATTCAAGGGAGTAGTTTTTGATTGCGCATTACATTCAGATGAAGATTTGCTTTCAGAGTTTAATAACTTTTTAACTGACATAGGTTTTGGAGATGGAGTTGATTGTGGAGAATCAAAAGTTTTAGGTATTACAATTTTACCAGGAGGACGACCCATTTTTTTGTTTTCTTTTTCTTCTGAGTTAGTCAGAGATTCTCTACGATTAACTGTGGTTTGAGACTCATTTAATCTAACCAGAGAATCTTTGCTATCTTTCTGATTAATTTCATTTAAATTACTAGGGTCTTTAACAATTTTCTGATCTCCAGACATGGAGTCTTTTTTGCTGGGAGTTTGTGAATTAGATTTATCAACAGATTTTTGCATGCCATTTTCTTTAGTAGAGGGAATGTCAGATTTTGCTTTGTTGCTAGAAGCCTCTGGAACTTTTTCAATTTGTTTCTCAAGTTTATCAGTCCCAGTCTTAGCTAATTCCTTTTTAACATTAACTGAATCGGACTTCTTAGGTTTCTTACTCTGGTGTGCTAAACTTGAAACCCTGGCAAGGCTGGATCCAAATGAGCTCTCAGCTAACCTCTTGCCACACTCTGTCTGTAGAGCAGCTGCAATATCAGCCGGAAGGAACTCCTCTTCACTTTCTTCAGCGTATTCATCAACTGCTTCTTGCAGATTAGGGGAACTAATACTTAATTGACTAGCGCGACTTCCTTTCATAAACGCAAAGCTATTTGCTGCAGTGTCAGGATTGTAATCATCTTCTTCTTCTTCCTCTTCATCAGGGATATCTTTTTCAATAGTTCTATTTAATAAAGTTACATCATCAGTTAATGGCTTTTCAAATTCTAATTCTTCTTGAGGGATGGGAGAACCAGGGGCTAATGCTAATAACAAATCTAATCGTACAGGTGTCAGGTTTGCCATGTCTGCAGCTACTTGCAGCAAAGAATGTTCGTAGCCTAGGTTCACCCAGTAGTCCACACATATATCAACTATCGTTGCACGCTTAGTAGGATCAACAGTCAATAACTTACGTATTAAATCAGAAGCATCTGGAAGTAAAAAAGTAAAATCATTGTTCAGAATAAAAATCTAACTTATGTTCTATATTATTTTATTTTGCTGAATAAAATCTGAGTTCATAATTTAATTAGAATTTCAGTTAAATTGAGTTACAGGTTTCTGCTAAATTTTAAAGTTGTTAAACTATAAAAATAAGATTAATAATAAAATCAAATATAATATGTTAAATTTCAATATTTAAGTATTAAAATTAATTCAGAAAATGGTGTAAAACATTGAAATACAAGCATTTATCAAAGTAAAATTATAGCTAGTAGTAAATTAATATAAAATTAATTCAACATATTTATTGGTTTTCTGTTAAACATACATTAAAACAGTGGAAAAAAATTCTTTATAAGATATTTGTGGTTATCTGGTTGAAAAAGAAGGACTGTGTTTATCTAAATGTTTGACAGTTTTTTTAAATTGAAAAGATCAGACGCTACAAGAAATTCACTATGGGATAAAAATTGATGTATTAGTAGAGAGAGTGTTCATCCCTTAAAGCACACTAGCCAGCCAAAGCTGTGAAAAACGTATTTGAAAATTTAGGCACACTTTTTATACTATTTATAACATATTGTTCTAAATTTTAAATTTGTATTTGTACCATATGTCACTTGTAAATGTCAAATATCAGCATATTATTTAAAAGATTATTTTGGATCTAAATTCAGTTTAAAAAAATAAAAACAGAAAGGAATTTTTTTTCTACTCGATAAGTCCAATATATTTTTTTACATAAAACATTCAAGTGAAATAACATTATTTATTTTAACTATTGTGGAGATAACTTCTTTCAATAAGTTGGGTCATATAATTTTGCAATTTCAACACTGTCCAAATGCTAGACAATTTTAATTTTGGAATGTCTAGCGTTCCGACAGCACTCAAAGTGCCACTTTTAGCTTGTTGAAATTACATGCTTCAACTTAAGTAACTCAACTTATGTGACTTAACTTATTAGTAAAGCTTCACATTTATCATGCATATTGAAAATCGGAACACTCAAGCTTTTACTTGACTAATTTATTTAATTTAACAAAGCTAGATAAGCAAACTGCTCCAGCCAAAGATTATAAAAGTACACAAAAGAACAAATGCATAATCAATAATTCTAAGATGAACGTCTTCAAAACAGTATCAGTACACTACAAATATGTGCGTTATTGTATAATTTCAATTTTTTTATACCAAACAAGAATTTAAAACTCTACAATAAGAAGCTACACATGTTTTGAACCTCTAGGGGTACAAACATAATTAGTAGAGAAACAATGCTTTTGATTATATATACAAAATAGATTCATAATTCATATTTTTAAAAATAAGAAAGCATAGAATTTCATTTTTATCAAAACGCAAACAAATATGCAATTAAAAACTTTAAGAACATGATATAAAGCAATAACAATCATACTTGATTTTTTCTTAGGCTCAAAATAATCAGCCTCAGATATTTGTGTCACTAGCTTTTTGAAGTTGCTTCCATCAAAAGGCATGGCTCCATATACTAAAGTGTATAACAGGACACCCATACTCCAACAATCAACCTTAAAAAATGAACATTATGACTTTAATTTTAAAGCCAATTAAACTAACAAAATATCAACCATGAAAATTATATTAAAAACTTTTTCAATAGTTTTCACTAACTATTATTTTGCTCCTTCAATATTTATTGTAATAGGAGTGTTATTGTAATAGAGTGTATATATAATAAGTAATAATACGACAACTGATTTATTAATAATAAATTGCTTTCACTACTTAGCATACATATTATTATTATTATTTTGGATAATTCAAATTTACTAAGAAAAAAGTTTTTAAATAACACACAATATAAACAGACATAAGTACCTCTGATTATTTCATCGTGAAGCAGTGTTCAAATTTATTGAATTATAATTGAATTTATTTAAAAATTCAAGCTACATATCATAATAAATAACATAAATTGTAATTTGTGGATACAATTGTAATTTGAGGATACTGTAATTTGAGGAAAATATGTATTCATTGATAAGTATTTACATCACTGAATATATAGTTTGAAAACTAATTAAACCTACATGTTTTTTTGTTTTGTTTACAGTAATGATTTTGAAACAGTTTGAAACTTAAAAGTTAAAATTAAAGATTTATGAGCGCCGATTCATCAGGAAAATTGCCTGAGTGTAGTAAAATCTTGGCTAAACCTGATTAGTCCTGATCAGTAGGATCAACTTTGGTGAGAAATAATGCAGTATGTAGCTAAGCTTTCTTTTGGTGAGTTGAGTCACTAAAATAAGTTCTGATAAATTTAATAATATAAATTTACTAAATAGGATATTAAATAATAATAATAAAATGGAAATTATATACTGTGCCGTGTAAGTGCCAAGGCTGTAAAAAATTATTAAAAAGAAATTAAAATATATTTTGTTGAAATTAATGTAAAGTCACTGGAAATGAAGTTTACATTAAGTGTTAATTTAGAGAGAAAATTTATTACAGGGTTAAAAAAAAAGATATCTGTAGAATCATACCGCTTTGTTAACAAAAAATGTATATAAGTTAATAAAACATGCATTTATTTTCAATGCATTGCGTACTGCTCCCATAGATCACTTAATCAAAAATGTTATGGTTTTTTATTTGAGCAGCTTTAACAGCTAATAATTAATAAACATATCACATAAAAACTAAGTTTTCATAGATTATAAACAAACTTTGATGATACGTTTGCTTCAACAAGAGAAAAAAATATGGAGAAATATGTTTAAATATTTCAGAGACATGTACTTTGCAATTTAAGGTATACTTAATATAAAAATATTTACTTCAGGTCCATAATAAGGAACTCCCTTTACAATTTCTGGCGATGCATATAATGGACTTCCACAATAGGTATTAAGGAGATTTTTCTCATCAAATACATTCGACAAGCCAAAGTCAGCAATCTGTATTGAGGAAAGACAATATTAAAATAAGCAAAGAAATTGAATAATTTTTTCACTCTCAATAAATTGGAATTCTTAAAAACTATCTTGTTAATAACCCCCCTGAAAATAAATAAAATAAAATATGGTAGTTTCTATGGATATCTATTAAATTAAAATTTAATTTAAAGAAGAAAAAAATGTAAATAAAATGTTTTTTTTTTTTTGTTTTTTTTACTTTTCATCCTTTTAAAAACTTCTTTCGGGGCAAACGTACTTTTAAAAATAATAATCTTTAACTTGTTTAGCATTTGTTTGCTCTTGAATTTATAACAGGGGTGATTGTGAGCCCAAGTCAAAATTCCAGAAAATTTCCCAAGTTTAAAAAAAAAAAAAGTTTAAATTTAAAAAAATTTAAACAAGTTTTTTTTTCTTCTTTTTCTCAATATTTCTTAGTTTATTTAAAATCTATTTAAAATTTTACACATGCCTTCACCATTTACACATACCTATGATGACCTGGAGAAGTAATCAAAATTTACAAATATGTCTTTCTTTTTTGAGTTTATGATTATAACAACTATTTACTGATAAAAAATGAATATTAATCATGAATATAAACTTATAAAGTATCTCACTGGTTCTCCCTTACAAGCAAATAAAATAAACTGTGTTTTTAAGTTCCACCTTTGAAAATTTGATTTTCGGAAACTTCTGTGATCAATAATTTTTTTAAACGTCTGGACCTTCGATCTCCAGAAATTTCCGGATCACTGTTAGTGAGAAATCCGGAAAACCGGATTTTTTCCGGAGCACAATCAGCCCTGATTTATATGCATAAACATTTTAATAGGAGAAAATGTGATGAAATTAATAACATATCTGGGACAAAATGGCAATTTTTAATAATTTAACTTCACAGTTCCTTTGAAATTGACATAAGTTTTTCCAATCCTTTGAAAAATGAGTACATTTTAAGAGAATCACTTTGTTCCAACTAACTACTGTTATTTTAAAATATGCACTTAAAAAACTTTAGCAACCTTCAATATTATAAGCAAGTAATATTTAATCAAGGCAATTGCGGTTCCACAAACTCCAGAAGATAAAAACTATACCAATTTTTTATTTATATACAGTTAGAGATATTTAGGAGAGTCCAAAAGAAATACAGGAACTGTATAAATTTTTTTTCATTGGAAGTTTAGTGAGTTTGTCAGGGTGCGTCCAATGTATTATCAGAAGACTTATTTGAATAGTGGATTAATTCCATTTTTACAGTCTTAATTTCGTTTCAGATAGAGAGCTTTGAAACCTAATGTTTTTCCTATCCTGATTGATCTTCGGTGACCTCCCTTTGGCAGCAGTAAAAATTTTGAAGCAAAAGTAAGAATGCATTAATTTTTAAAATAAAATAGAAATAACTTGCATGAAGGCTAATTCCTAGGCTAATTCCCTTTTTGTTAATAAGTGAAGTTGGACTATTATTGAGCTGATCACTTCAAATGAAGACTCTCTTAAGTTTGTAAAAAAAAAGGAATAAATAAAATAGAATGAAGGCATTATATGTTTAGTTAGTCTTAGTTACAGTACAGTAAATATAGAAATTATAACAATAAAAAAAAGGCTTACTTTGGCATTTCCCTTTTCATCCAATAGCACATTTTCAAGTTTTAAATCTCTATGGCAAATTTTGTTCTATATTATAAATGAATAAAAAACATTTAGTAGTATAACAATTATAAATTAAATTAAGCATTTAAAAAAATAATGCAAAAATAGAATGAAAATAGATATGAAATTAGGGTTGAGTGGATGGTAAAGAAAAGAAACATTGAAGCCTTTTAGCTAAACTGGGTCTTTCCCAAGAAACAAAAATTTAAATAATTTATTATAGATTGTAAACTTTTAAATTGATACACGGTACANTCACTTTGCTCCAACTACTGTTATTTCAAAATATGCACTTAAAATTTTTTTAGCAACCTTCAATATTATAAGCAAGTAATATTTAATAATGGCAATAGCGGCCCCACAAACCCCAGAAGATAAAAACTATACCAATTTTTTATTTAGAGATATTTAGGAGAGTCCAAAAGAAAGACAGGAACTGTATACATTTTTTCTCATTGGAAGTTTAGTGAGTTTGTCAGAGAGTAATGTATTATCAGAAGACCTTATTTGAATAGTGGATTAATTCCGGACCACTATTCAAAATTACTATTTGAATAGTGGATTAATTTTACAGTCTTAATTTCGTTTGAGATAGAGAGCTTTGAAACCTAATGTTTTTCCTTGTATGATCTTTGGCGACCTCCCTTTGGCAGCAGTAATAATTTTGAAGCAAAAGTAATAATGCATTAATTTTTAAAATAAAATAGAAATAACTTGTATGAACAAGAGAGTTAGGCTAATTCCATTTTTGTTAATAAGTGAAGTTGGACTTTTATTCAACTGAGAACTTCAAACGAAGACTCTCTTAAGTTTGTAAAAAATAAATGAATGAATAAATAAAATAAAATGAAAGCATTATATGTTTAGTTAGTCTTAGTTACAGCACAACAAATATAGAAATTATAACAATAAAAAAAAGCTTACTTTGGCATTTCCTTTTTCATCCAATAACACATTTTCAAGTTTTAAATCTCTATGGCAAATTTTGTTCTATATTATAAATGAATAAAAAACATTTAGTAGTATAACAATTATAGAATAAATTAAGCATTTAAAAAAATTAATGCAATAATACAATAGAATAAAAATAGATACGAAAGTAGGGTTGAGTGGATGGTAAAGAAAAGAAACATTTAAGCCTTTTAGTTAAACTGGGTTTACTAAACCCAAGAAATAAAAATTTAAATAATTTATTTTAGATTGTAAACTTTTTAACTGATACACAGTGCAGTGTATAAAATATTTATGTAAACTTTTTAATTGATACACAGTGCAGTGTATAAAATATTTAATATGAAGAAGAAAAAAAATTCTTCAGAATACGTTTGATATCATTAATTTGAAAGAATAATGCACTAAGTAGAATAAAGAGGTGTTATAGCTCAAAAAAGGTCATCTTTATTCTTTTAAAACTGAAAATTTATATCAGGAAGATGTGTTTTCTACTACTCTTTAACAGTATTTCTCTATTGTAAAAATCTTTCAAGTTTAAATTGAAAACTGAATGCAAAAACTTCAGACTTAAAAGTAACAGAAGGTCAGATTCAATGCAAATATAATTTTCTTTATTCTGAAATAAATAATAATACAAAGCTTTAAACATTGAAAACTGAATTTTTCTTTATTTTTAAGAAGCCTAAGTTTTAAAAAAAAAATGAAACCGTAACTGAGATTAGGAAAAAGAAAAAAAAAGAAATCTACATTTATTGAAACTAAGTACATGAATGTAAACAAAAGAATTGAAAACAATCCTTTCGAATGCATCGGAATATACCATAGGACTGAATGTTATTTCTCCTGTAAATTATTTAATAGTGGAAAAAAAGTAGGACCTGTCCAATTTTAATGTGCTAATTACAAGATGTTGATAAACTCTTACATCTAATTCTGTTACTCCTATAGTAAGTGTTATGCAAAATGAACCGTAACCAATTCTTGGCACACGTGTTTGTTCAGCTTTGTAATTCTATATATTTTCTAAAAGATTAAATTGTCAAAGTTGTAAAATATAATTCAGTTTACAAAGGTGTTGGAGGAAAACACTAACTATTATCTGAATATAATAACAATAAAATACTTGAAAAAGGTTAAAATATAAGTAGTCGATAAAACAAAAATGTATAATTAATTAAATTCAAATAATGTTAATTTTTGAAAACCTTACTTTATGACAATAATATACAGCAGCAGCTATCTGGCGAAATATTCTACGTGCTTCTAAATCTGAAAGAACTTTTTTCTCACTAAGATAATTGTACAACTCTCCACCACTGGCAAACTGCATAACAAGGACTATTTTGTCTTTATTTTCAAAAACTGAAACGATAAGTAAATAGAGTTTACTTAAATCTGATTCATTAGGAGAAACAGTTTGTACACAACTTGAATACATTAATACTGAATAGAAAAATACATTCAAACTATATAAATAGAATTGGTGGTTAAACATATGGGTTTAAAGAAGGAAAAATGAGATAACATTTTTAAAATTTAAACAAGGTTTGAAAATTTGAATTTTTACACTTTGCATGCATAGCGATTTTTGAGTAACACCTAGATTCATATCTATGCATGTTTATTAGTTAGTCAGATTAAAATACATGCTGCTGAAATACAAATAAAACCAAATCTCAATTTTAATTAAATTCTCAACTACCTTGTGCAACCTAAAAACTATAGATAAGATATTATTTATTATAAATGACTTTTTTAAAATTGTGCAATGCCAATACAGAAAAAAAGTCGTGAGAAGGTTAATAAGGAAAAAAATAATAATATACTTTACAAAACTTCTTAAATCTTTATTTTTTTTTTAGTTTTTTATTAATATAGGTTAAAAAAAAGCATTTTATTTATTTTTTTGAATTACATTGCCTCTCAAGTCCCATTACATAATTCAAGAAAAATACATGCAATTATGTTAAGCAATGAAATTACATTGTGAATTAAAGTGTCAGAGAAGACTATTACCATACATTCTTTTCATAGCTGTTAAATTTAATCAAATATAATGACAATCGTAGTTTTTATTTTAATGTGTTTATTACTTTTATCATAAAGGTATTTGATTATAAACGTTGTGTTTCGAAATTCGAGTAATAAATTCAGAGGCATGATAAAAACTTAACACGGAACATGAAGTCACAAACCACATACAAGCTCTAAATTTCTATGTGTGCATTGCCGTCGCAAATATGAAAGCATAGCTAGCATTTTCGAGCGTGTTCGGGAATCGTTTTTGCGTCATTGTAGACTGTGTAAAAACGTCAGCAAGATCCAGTTCGAACAATAATTAAGCATCTATTTTTTTGTAGTTGCAACAAATAGTGCCTCTTATAGTTTTTTTCAACGTGACGTTGAAACCTGCATGGATTTTTTGCGATTTTAATCTTCTCAGCATGGTTGGACCACATGTTCTATGGAAAGTATTCATCATCTTGATGAGTTAAATCAGATTACTTATGTTAACCAAAGATGATCCTGAGTTCTTTTATACATACAATAAATTTTTTCCCCTTTCCTTTTTCAATAATATGCTGTCATAATTACAAGATATACAAGATTTTTTTTCTACATATCTTTTGCCATCTGACGAGAATTACACTGTAAATGAATTTTTAAATAAAATATGTTCATGTTCATGTGACAAAATTGCATTAACTAAATGGTTATTTTAAATTAAATTTAAATACATAGTTCTTTGATTACAACTAAACATGTTTTTTTTTCTTCAGATTGTTAAATAAAATGGATAAAAACAAAAAACGATATTATCTCCGTAATTCAAATACAGTAGAGCACCGATTATACAAGCCGGATTGTCTAATTTACCGGATCTTTCAAGGACCATGTGTTTTTCCGACCTACCACAAAATAAATAAAATGTTTTTTATTTTGAGAATATCTGAATAGAGACGAAAAATGATTTTTTTTTTTTTTTTTTATNATTAATTTTTTTTTTTTTTTTTTTTTTTTGGTCACTCGGTGACCTTTGAAAGGACCTCACGTTTTTTCCGCCTATTTTCAGGGTGGGTGGAAAGTAGTTTCTAATAAGGAAACAGGTTTCAAATAAAATTTTAAAAAAAATTAAAACTTTTAAACGCAACATTTGCAATATACTACAATAGGTTTTCCCCGTCTTTTAAAGTTGTCTAATTATCCGGCTTTTTTGTTATCCGTATTGGGTTTGGTTCCGATAGGTCCGGATAATCGTCGCTCTACTGTATACCGATTCTCGGAAGTTTTATTAAACAATTGGAATTAAAAATAAATTATTCTTTAATTATTCAGTAAGTAGATTTTACCAGAAAAAATAATCCTATATTTGAATATTAATAAATGAAAAAAAAAAAATACCTTCATAAATGTGGATGATGTGTGGGTGTTGAATCGATGACATAATCTGAATCTCCCTTCGTATTCTAATGAGATCCTGCTCACTTTCTATTTTGCTCTTCTTGATGGTTTTAATTGCAACCTTTAACAAAAACATGCAGTATTAGAAACAAATAATTTATTTGCCTTAATATTAAAGTAATAATCATAATGAAGCATTTAACACAAAATTTTATTTAAAAACAGTTGTAGATAGTCATATACGGGCTGTTCCGTAAAAATTTTGTTATTTTTGTTAAAAACGAGGACAAAAAAATATACACATTGAGAACTATATTAGAGACGTTTTGCACTTTAAAACCGTTCAAATGATAACTAAGCATTTACAGAAGGGAATTAGTGATTTGCTTATTTTTGTAGACAAGGGGGTGGGGAGGGTATGAGCAATGCTTACTTAAGTCACTATAATTCTTTTCTATTCATTTTTTCTCTTAAATCCAAGATAAATGTAACAAAAAATTTACATTCGGAAATATTTTATACTTTTAAAAAAAAAGTTTGAAATTTTTTTTCAAAAAGTTTAATATTTTATAAAATAAATTATTTAACGTAAACTTCGTTTTATTCCAAATTACATCTTTTTATCTGAATTTAAATCTAAAATTCTTAAAACAAGATTACTACAGTAAAAGTCAGAATTAGAACAAGGGGAGGACTGTTCTGACTTTCTTGCGTAAGGTATGGGATTTGTAACTTGCTTATTTTTGCCGACAAGGGGGGTGAGGCAAGTACAAAAGGTGCCAAAAGCATGCTTACGTAATATATAAAAAGCCCCTTTCACGTACTATGTTCTTATCATATCAGCGTAATAACTACAGAACTATCTCCAGGATCTCTACAGGATTTGCGCAGAATCTACGTACGTAAGCGTGTTGGATGTTATATGAGACCATAAAATCTCCCAAATATTTAAAAAGCAGAATAAAACTAATCGAAGCAGAAATGATGTAATGATTCAATTAAATTAGTGAAGGAGCAACATTTCGGAAGATTTTTCTGCGTACAAATTATTTTACCACAAATAAAAGTATACAATTTCATTATTTGATTAGGATATGGGACTTGAATTACATTTTAGAGTTCGCTCGCTAGACAAATTTTAAAAGGTCTATAACTCCAAAGTTCCAGCCTACCAAATAAAAAGCTACGGATTGATTCGACAGCAGCTTAAACCAACGGTTTCCAAATGGTGTTCCACGGAACCCTGGGGTTCCGTGGAAGGATCACAGGGGTTCCGAGAGTTTAAATTTTTTAAATCAATAATAATTTTTGAAACTTGTAATTATATTTATATCAAAACAATAAACTACAATTTCTTTGACAGTTAGGTAATTTTTATGAAATTAAGTAAAATGCTAGGAAAAAAAATGGTAAAACTTATAAAAAAATTAATCAGTATTTCTCGTTGAACTTTTCAAAATAAAATGACCAAATTCAAGAATAACAAACTATGTTTCTTTGATAACTGCTTTCAACGGTTATAAGAATTCTTTCTCGAAAACCGTAATTCAGATTTTATTATCCATTTTCAGCTAACGCATGCACAGACTGTAAAACTAATTCAGAACTAGATTAGATACCTCTCCAGGCCTGCGGATTCAACTGTTTGACATAAAATCTAATATTTTAAAAGTTTCATTGATAAAAAGATTATTAAAAAAACCTTCATTTTTCACGTTAAATGTTATCAAATAATTGGTAGTCTTTCTTTAGTCAATATGCTCACGGCTGCTAATAAATTTTATTTATATGTTCGGGGTTCCGGCAAAAGAGACTCGATCATTCAGGGCTTTGTAGCCGTAAAAAATTGAGAATAAATAGTTATTTTGGTACCTACCGAATTTAATAAAACTAAATTGTGTTAGAAACTTTGTTGGAAGCAAAAAAAAGGGGGCTTAGGGATTAAGTACGAGGCACTTAGGGATTCCTCTAAAGAAAATAAATCCTTAATTATAGCTTTTACGACTAATTATAAGGATCTATCTAAAGTTTTAAGCTAAAATTTTGCTACCTTATAAAATATTAATAACAACAACTATGATGCCGAAGTTTATGAAAATTTTGCAAGAATCGGAAAAATTAGTTCCAACTCTGGTCAGTTGAAAGTTCGGTCTAACATGGTTAAGAAAATAAAAGAAGTTTCTGATCATCAAAAAAATTATAAACATAAATATTTATAAATATATGAAGAAAGAGTCGCGATGGATCAAGGGATAGAGCACTCACCTCCCTAGGTGACCCAGGTTCGACTCCCAGCGGCGGCTGGTCGATCCAAATTTTGCTCATGGCTCACGCCGCTCATAGTGCTGATGTAAAACATCCTCCCTTCATGGTTCTACCACGAAGTTATCATGGGTTAACCAAGAAGGTTTTAGAGGTTTTCCTCTTCATCTAACGCAAATGAGGGTTAGATCCATCAAAAAGTCCTTCACGGAGGACAGTTTGTCCCACTGCTTGATCCAAGAGTCCCCTTGTCTTTTCGGTTGGGTTCAAAATTATAAGTCTACGAAGTTAAATATTTATAGTCGTTAACTCAGAGTTTTGTCGGCTGTTCAACGCCAGTTAAAATAAAATTATACGAAGAAAAATATTACTCAAATTAATAGCATGAAAATTATATTATAACTTATCATATCACTAATTTAATACTTGAATGTTTATAAACCTAGTATGTTTAATAAAGAACTATGATAAAGAACACCGAAAACTCTATATTAACAAAGGAATAACAAATAAATTATCTTTTGATTCATAAATTCTAAAAGCAAATTTAGCTAAGTTTTAGCTAAGTTGATATGTTAAGTAAAAAGCTATGCAAATGAATTTAATGTACCATCCATCTGTAATAGTTTTCCTGCTTACGAATATTCACTAAACAATCTTTTTGTAATAAGATGCTCATATATATGGATGGTGTACGAATGAAATATTCATATCTAACATTTTTTTTCTTAAAATGGTTTTGCGCAATTTCAATATTTTTTACAAATTTATTTTTTAAAATATAGTTCCTAACTTATATAAAATGTAATTTTCTATTAAAATATCCCTAACTATAATATACCCCGTACAACATAATACTAATAATAAAGATATACAAGGTGCCCAAAAAGCATGGAAAATTGAAACACCTCCAGATATTAGATTAAAAATCTAAATATACACGTGTTAAATACTTTCAAAAGATTTATTCAATGGTACCAAACTCGGCTCCCCCTCCCCAATCTTGGAGGTAGAGGTGAGGCAACTTAAAAATCCTTATATAACCCCCCCCCCACCTTTTTTTTTAAAATTTTATTTCATGATTAGATTTTCCAGAATAAAATACACAGACTTGATTATAGATTTGACTTCTTGGATTTTGGTTCAAAAATGGAGCTGTAATTGCTAAAAATCGTTTAAAATAGAAGTACTCCAAAAAGTACACGTCAGATCGGGGAAAAAAAAAGATTTGTTTGATAATAATAATAATAATAATAAAAAAGAATACTAATTTTTCTAATGACACTAAACTCGAAGACCCCATAGAAATCTCCCAGGGGTTGAGAAAGAAGGCTAATATGGGTATGAAGAATTCAATTCCAAATGGAACATAAACCCAAATAAATTTTAACACCAAGTTTACACTATTAATAATTTGTAACTGAATTTATTTAAGTGAAAATAGAAAACAAAAATAAGATAAGTGGTAGCTTAAAAATATCGAAAAAAGATTACAGATGATTAAAAAAAAGAGAGAGAGATTCTTATTAAAGCACGATGCTATTTTTTCTTTAAACATATTAACAATTTAGTAATCAACAGGTAAACAACTGCCAGACATACATGTAACAATTACATAAAGAAACAAATGAAAAATCAATTATAGTTAAGATAACACGTTCTGTAAGTAGCTCACAACGAAGGAGTCGTTATCTGAATTAACGTATTATATCAATCTACGTCACATTAAATGCGGGTACAAAAGGGACGACCCACACCTGAACGCCTCTTCAACCCTTTCAAGGTTACGAGAACAACCAGATAGCTACACCTGTCACCTCTGCAGCCCAGCAACACCCCTCTTGAATAGATTTTCCGCATGCAGCAGGAGACGACAGGTCAAAAAAGATAGTCGTGAGGTGGGATGCTGAAAATAAAATACATCGAATGGCGAGGATGTTGATAACTGGATTAGATAGAGAAGTTCGACGATCCGGATCGATAAGGAGGCTCAGTTTACAAAATGTATGATGTAGGTAAAAATGATGTATATATAGTCCTGGCCTCCTCACCGAATCATAAACTATAATAAGTATGGAAGAACGAAAAATTGAGAAAGAGGATTCCCAATCAATTTTAGAAACGTAACTCCCAGAGTGAAATAGACTTTTCCAGGAAAATTTCAACAAATCCCAGATTGCATTTTGGCAACGCACGGCAATATTTCGTCAGATTTGCTTTCATTCGATAAGCGAATAAATTTACTTTAAGATAGAAAAGGTGTTAAATATCACATTTTGTGGGGGGGAAAAAACAGAAGTGATTTAACACGCAGAGTTACAAGCATGGTTGGCATGGTTTAAAACAATTGGTTTAAACCATGGTTTTTTCCCCAAAAAATTGCTGTTTTTTCCCAAAAAACCTGGTTTTTTGCCAACCCTGGTTATAAGTACACACAAGTATATGCATTATTGATAAGAATAATATTCTGCACAACCGGGAAATAAAAAACTAAAAATTTAATTTCTAGTTTCCATCAGTAAAGTAGTCACTAATCATGGATCATTCTTAAGATTATGAACCAAAATTAATTTATAGAAAAAGTTTGATTTTGAAAAACACAGTATTTAAGAACTACAAATATATTTAAGAAGAAATGTGAATTTTTTTTTTTTAAACAAAATAGTTTTCACCAGTTTTAATTTGTGTAGAAAGTTTAACAACTTTGTAGCATTTTACAAGAAATCATCAAGAAATATGAAATTGGTCATTTTTCAGATTATGATCAAAAATTGCATTATTCACCAGATGATTTACAGTTTTCCAAAGGGAGTCCTGGAATCTATCTAAAGATCAAATTCACGAAAATTTATTTTTGCT